GAAGCACATCAAGACTTTTGGAAGTCTTGCCTACTCCTACATACCCTCGCTTCCTAAGAATTAAACATTGCATTCTAAGGAGGGGATGGCAATACCTCTTTCACAATACTCCAGTCCATTTAAGCCTTGAATTATTTTAAATCATCATCAATTAACATACTGTTTAGCTTTTTGGGCAGATTCAGGTTGGGAATTCAGGTAGCCTTCCCCATGTTGAACTACAACTTTCAGCATTCCTCGCCACTGGCTGTGCTCACAAGAACTGCTGAGAGTGGCAGTCTTAACATCTGGAGGGCCACATGATTCCCACCCCTGATGGGTCCTTCTGGGTGTTATAACTGGCATAACTGAGATTACACTGATGAGTCAGCCGAGGAGAGGGAAGGAACTGAGAGAACCATCTTGGCCACAGGCAATGGAGAACCGTCTTTAGAATTCCCCTTCTGGTGTGAGAAGAAGAAAAGCAACAACAAAGTGGAGAGCAAGGAAGTTTTACTGAAAGCAACAGTGCCATTGGATGCACCAAAAACTGTAGGGTGCAATTTTAGTTTCCTGGGATGTTGACCCTTTTAACGGTAAACTAAAATATGCAGGTATGAAAGTTTAACTGGTTAGAGTTCAGCTTTCATCAGCAGAGCAGCAAAAAATGTGGTCCAGGCTATATTTTAATATGCTCTCCTAAAGAATAAAGACTAAGGGCCTTTGCAGACTGCTAGAAATAATGCAAATTGAATCCACTTTAACTGCCCTGGCTCAGTGCTAGGGAATCATGGGGACTGTATTTTTTTCTGAGACATTGAGCCTTCTGTCAGAGAGCTCTGGTGCCACAATAAATACAGTTTCCATGATTCTCTAGCACTGAGCCAGGGCAGCTAAAGTGGACGTGTGTGTGTGTGTGTGTGTGTGTGTATATATATATATATATATATATATATATATATATATATATATATATATATATACCAAAATATATATATACCAAAATATATATCAAAATTAAATCCTATCCTAACTGGAGACAATATAGCAGGAAGAGCGATGTTAACCTCCCTCAGAGGAGGACAGTTTCTGACTGGAGACTGAGAGGTGACAGTGAGTGTCAGTTAAACTGCCAGATAGAATTGGGTGGGGGGGAGGGGGAGGGGAGGGAGGAAGTCCCTGCCTAACTTAGGAGGGAAAGGAGAATGCAATGTATAATTCTTCCAACAAAAACAAAATGCTGAACCCTGGGTAACAGATAAGTCACGCTTTTATACTTTTAGGAACCGTATCTTTTTCCACAATTGATTGGCTTAAAAATGCTGCACAGGTGGAGGAGAAAGGGGTGAGGCGGCTGCCTCACTATCCCCACTCCCATTGCTGGTGCTTTGCTGATTAAGCTCAGCAACACACTTGCTCAGTGTAGGACTGCTTATCAGTGTTAGGCTTAGTAAGTGCATTCATTATAAGAAACTACAAGGCAGAGCTCCAAGAAAATGTAAAGCACAAAAGAGGCTTCTTACCACAAACTGCAACATACATAAATTCATTCTGTGACACAAGAACCACAAAGTGCAGCGACTTATACACACACACACACACACACACACATTTACTGGGGTTAGGGGTGAAGGAGCCCCATGAATCTGGGAAAACTGCAAATAAAAAAACCACAATTTTCACCAGAGAACACCTCTAGGAATCTCCAGGTCAACTCTATGGTCAACATCTGCCAGAAGTTGATCATGGATTCATGCTGGAGGACCTACAAATGCCTAGAGAAGTGCTTTCTCTAGGAACTTGTAGGTTCTCCAGCACAACTCTATGGTCAGCTTCTGGCAGAGTTGTGCTGGAGGACCTGGAGATTCCTAGAGAGAACATACTAATCAAAACTAAATAATCAAATCTGCAAAAGTCAATGCCACAAATGTGGAAGGCCACTGTGTGTGTGTATGTATAGAGAGAAAGAGTATATATTGTACATAATGTGTGTATTTGTGTCTATATAGCAATCAATCAGATGGTTTATTGTGCTAGCCAAAGGCCATGACAAAAAGCTCATCAAAATACACAAAACATTTAAAACAGGGGTAGGCAACCTTTTTGAGCCGGGGGCCGGGTTGCTGTCCCTCAGACAATTGACGGGCCGAAGCACCATAAATAAACAAATAAATAAATAAATAAATATTAAAATTAAAAAAGAATTAAAAAATTTTTAAAAAATGCATGCACACTCTCTCAGCCCCAGAAAAGCCATGGCAAAACCCCTGTGAAGATTTTGCCAAGAAAACCCCAAGAACAAGTAATAACAACAATAATCAATATCATCATGGGGGGGCGGCGGCAGGACCGGTTTGGGGCCGGTCCAAAGGCCTTGCTGGGCCGCATCCAGCCCCCGGGCCTTAGGTTGCCTACCCCTGATTTAAAATAAAAGGCACAAAAATACAAGATAGATAGATAGATAGCGAGGCGAGGAAGCTGCAACTTAAGGAACCTTTTTAAATCAGCTTCCAGGAAGTCAAAGCCTTAAGGAAGCTGCCACTTCAAATGGCTTAAGGGGAGAATTTTGAGCTGCTGGTGTGGCTCCAGAGCCATTTTTAAAAATACTTCAACAAAAAGTGTGCCTTTAAGTCACCTGTTGACTTAGGGGCGACCCCATGGATTTCATAGGCGGGTTTCCTTAGGCAAGGGGTACAGATTGATTCGTCCCTATCTGGAATTCCGAAATCCAAAATATTTCCAGACTGTCCACACGGGTGGCTGAGAGAGTGACACCTTTGCTTTCTGATGGTTCAGTGTGCACAAACATTGCACATAGTTAAAAATTAATAAAATATTGTGTATAAAATTACCATAAGAAACATGAATAAATTTCATATTTAGACTTGGGTCCCATCTCCAAAGTATCTCAGTGCCATAGCAGTTTGAATATTGGACTATGACTCTGGAGACCAGGGTTTGATTCCTTGCTCAGCCATGGAAACTCAATGGGGAATTTAGGTGAGTCACACTCTCTCAGCCTTCTCTGGGAAGGTAATGACAAAGTCTTCCCTGAACAAATCTTGGTACCTGCAGATGGTTTGGCCAGTTCCTTCCTCTGAAATACAGTGCCTGGTATTCCTGTTGGCATCCTATCCTGCTTGGTTTCCAAGATCAGACAGAATGTGGTGCCTTTAGACAAATGTTGTGTGCCTTCTTCAAATCATTTTGGACTTATGGCGACCCTAAGGTCATGTTTTTCTTTTGGCAACATTTATTCCATTGCCACTCTTTGAGGCTGAGAGAGTGTGACTTGCCCAAGGGTGGAGGTGGGAATCGAACCTGCGAACCCCGATCTCCAGAGTCTTAGTCCGGCGCTCAAACCACTGCGCCACGCTGGTTAGAGGACTCCGTCAAAGACCCGTCGCACTGCGCAGGCGCTTACACCTGGGCACCAACTTTTCCGGCTTTCCTGGGAAGGGTGCTGGAGGAGGAGGAGGAGGAAGAGAGACCAAACTCCTCATTGGTGGCCAGGACCTACGAAGACAGCCAATCGAGAGGCCCATTGTGAGCGAACAGGCGCGGGGAGCCTATCGTCTTCTCCGGTGGGCGGGGCCGAGGGAGAGTCTGGGCAGCCGTCGTCGTCTGAGGCAGTTGGTCAACGTCTGATCTCGCCCGCGTCTCCCCTTCGTCTGATTTAGTTTGTTTTTAGCAAAGAAAGGGGAGGAAGGGCGAAGGGGACGCCACCATGGCCGCCCCGCTGACTGGGCTCGCCTGGACCTCGGCCAACGCCAGCGCCGCTGGATGGACTCCGGTGAGGAAGGGGGC